CCCTGAGCGCTCCATATGTGAAACAAGGTCGGCAGCTAATGCTTGGAATAGAGAGTGACTAAGCCCCTGAGACAGTGTCTGTGTTCCTCAGCGGAGGTGCTGTTTGAATTTGAGGAGTAGTCTTGTTGTGTGCAACCATCTCGCACATTACTGGATGTTTAACACCGTTGGTCCCCAACCACTAATTGTCTGTAGTGACACATTCTCCACCAGCCCTCCCAGGAAGGGTGACGGCCTAAAACATCTTCCTAAAGGTCATTATCCCACACTCCCTTAGAAATGACGTATTATAGCTGATAGCAGGATTAGATAAGACTTTCAGTAAAACATGAGTTTGGTCAATCTACAGAAAATAAAACACAGACTCAACCAGTCAGCAGAAGCCTTAAGATATCAGTAGAATTTACCAGTCACCAAAAAAAAAATGATTTCCCAGAAAAAGCACAGATAAAGAGGTAAATGTCCTCCATGGGTCATTGCTGGACTCTCAGCAGAAATCTTAACGGACATCCTGCATAAATGCCCTCCTCTTTCTGGAGGCAAGCATTACCGACATGCCTTGGGGCTTGGGGGCAACCTCACAGCCCTCCTCTAAGAACTCTGAGAATATCATCAAATGAGAGCCACTGGAGTCACAGCTTATCCTTTGCAGACCTGACCCTCGAGCTTTTCCCAGGACTAAGTCTAGTCGACCTCTCACTTGCCCCGTTTATGAGGTGCTGGTACACATCGCCTCCTGTGTGAGAGCACAGAGCTCATTCTTCTGGGCCAGGTTCCCCAAGGGCATGGAAGCAGGACCAACCTCATAACTTGTAGGACGGCGTGCAAAATGAAAAGTCAAAGCCCTTTGATAAAAAATAATTAAGCATTTTAAGATGACAACAGCAGGGCATTAAACCAAGCTCGGAGCTCTTCTGAGCTGGCTCTGGGTGGAACAAGGGCTGCGTCCTTGTTCACTGACATGGTGACAGCTCAGAGTCAGGCACCTACTGGGTGGGGCCATCTGAGGATTTTGTCACATGACCCTCACAGAATCTCTCACTCTTGGGGATCCATGAGGCCCAAACTGTTTCTCCGATGTCCACTGAGTCAGTGCCCACTGATGGCTCTGTCGTTATGAGGAACCCTTTGGGGGGGCGCCATGACATCATGGTGCCTTACGTTCTTAGACCACTTCCTAGTTTACAAAGGACCTGCACATGCCAATTAGAACAGTGAAGCTCTTGAGTCAAGGGCCTCAGTGGACCACAAGGGCAATGCCTGACTTTATTGCCTGATTTTATTCCTCATTCGTGTTTTCCTTCTTTGTGTATTTCAACTCCTAAGACAAAGCCTATGCCTGGCCGCTAAGTAATCTGGGACCGTTCACGGTGCTGTTGCCGACAGACAAAGGCCTGAAAGGACTCAATGTAAGTATTTAAAATAAACCTACGCAGAGGGGCTAATCATTGGGTAAATTTTTTTTAGTGAAATATAACATCCTGGCAGAACGTGCGCAAATTGTAAGTACACAACTCGGTGAACTGTCAACAAAGTGAACGTATTGTGCATCCAGCGAGACCATGACCAGCTCCCTTCTAGACCCCCTGGTGCCTCCTTCCAATCAGTACCCCCTCAGGGTTTACCATGCGGAGTTCTTAACATACAGGGATGTGAAAGGTAAGATCTGCATCATGCAAAACTGCTCTCTTCCTACAGGAAGAAATAAACCTCGCACATTAGCTAGGTCATTTGTTTCTTTAAAACGATCATAAATGGCAACAGTGTTGGGGGAAACTAGAAGAAAACTGTGGTCTTCAGGGTGACCAGCTATTGTCTGAGATAATGTCGTCAGTGGGAATGAAACTAGAGTGCCTAGTGGATGTGCAGCATCATGATGGTACCGATGAAATAGATTTGGTTTAATGCGGGTAATGGACATATTGATTTGTATCAAATTGGTTTATCTTAATCGGATACGTTTTTGTGGTAACAATTTTTGCTCCACTGAATAAAAACCCAGGAAGTTCCAGACTCTCTCACCCTGACATGCCACCGCCATTAATCTGTCTGAGATGAATCTATCATTAATACTCAGAGGTGCCCACACTTGTCTGCTCTCGGGGAGGAGAGCCAGTATATTTTGAATGCCTCTGAGCTCAACCCATTGTATGTGGTCTCTTGTTTAATATGCAAATTAAATTTTCACAAAGTCAATAAAAATTAGCTGTTGGTGGATTGTTGACGATAGACTGACAAAATGTAGATTGGGTTGGATGGATTTTGAAATCTTCATTTTACCGTTCAAAAGCTCCATTGGTCCATTCTACCTGTTCTCTTCATTTCTGTCTGTGTCCTGAGCTCGAGATGATTCCTTGGTACCTGCCATCCTCCTGCTCCTCCTGACCCCAGTGCCCTGCTGTCTCTACTATGTCAGTTTTCACGCTAAGCACCGCACCGACCCCTCACCCCCGTGGTTGGGGAGTATACTCTGCATCACTCCCCAGATTTCTGCTCCCTTTAAGGCCTGGCCCGGGGCAGCTGCGCTCATAGAAAGTCATCTGTGTCTGAAAGAGCCCAAACCCCAGTGAGGGTGCCCCGGCTTTGACGTGCGTGATGCTGAACAAGTCAATGCATGAAGTAGAAACGTCGTTTTCTCCTTTAAACGATGGTGACTGAAGGAAATGGCTCTCTTTTCCTAGGTAAAAGAGCTTTTGATGGATAACGAGGCTACTCAGTACTTCGTGAAACTCCACATAATTGCCGGGCAGATGAACACTGAGCAAATGAATAACACAGACACATTCTATACCCTGTCTGGAAGGTCAGGGGAAATCTTCAACGATGATAAGGTAAGGGTTTCTCCAATGTCCACTGACTCAGTGCCCACAGTTGGCTCTGACTTTGTGTTTAGGTTGTGAAAGTTTACAAAGAACTTTCCCTTATTCCTTGTTTGTCAAAGTAGTCCCCTGCATAGGAAGAAGTGAAGGGCAGCACCAGAAAGGGTCAGGTAGGAGGCAGGGTGCATGCTTGCGGAAAGCGGGTGATAAAGTGTTTGATTTTGCTCTGGTCTGAATTAGTTTTAAGGCAACCATTATTCAACTGCCAGCAGGAAGGAAAAATTTTGCAGTAAGCCTGTTTCCTGGAAGTATCAGCACAAAGCCAGATCAGCATTCCTCTTACAAAAGGAAATGGATTATGTTTGCTTTAGATTGTTGGAGTTTATCCATCCTCTCCAGCATAACATTCCATCTCTCCTAATGCCATTAGTTCTGTTTTGTTTTTTAAGTAAAAACATCCTCCTCCCCTTTTAGAAATAGCTCTTTTTGTGACTTTACTGAGCAGGGGCACATGTGATTAATTGACAGAATGTGTGTGGGGAGGGGGGTTGGCCTATACGGTGACATTTCACGAAACATCAATAGTTGGTAGATTATTGAGTTCTTACTCGATGCAAGGTACTAGTATAAAACTTTATTTATGTTATATGAGATTCACAACAACCCTATAAAGGATGTTTTGCCAGAGCCAGGGTTCAAATGCAGTTCTGTCTGACTCCTAAACCTGAGCCCTTAACCAGTAAGTTGTACTGTGTGTGTGAGAAAGGATGGATGGATGGATGGATGGATGGATGGATGGATGGATGGATGGATGGATGGATGGATGAAGATTTGGCTTTCTCACAAAGACATGCATGCATGTATTCATTCGTCCATTTATTCAACAAATATTCACTAAGCCTGTAACTTATAGCAGCCACACGGGAGGAAGAGGAATTCGCTTCAGTTATTCATTCAACAAATATTTTTTACCGTGTGCCTTCCTTGTACACGACACTAAAATAAATGACAAATTTATATTAATTTGAATAGTTTTGCCCTTTTGGAGCTTACAGTCTATTGGGGGAGACCTATAATGCCTTATTCACATTTAGCATGGGGTAGTCATCAGTAATTTCAAACACTGTCTTAATTGACCTTAATGAAAACCATGTGGAGTCAACCAAGCAGATACCATCATCCTGATTTATGTTAAGTGACTTATCCAAGATCACACAGCCAATAAATGGCAGAACCCGAGGACTCAGGAGTCCTGACTTCTAGCCCAGAGCTCACTCCTTCGAGAGCATCACATTAATTTTATTTTATTTTTCCTTGATTTTTAGGACAATCAACTAACGCTTAAACTCTACGGAAGCAAAAAGAATGTAAAAATCATACAGGGGAACATAATTGCTTCCAATGGGCTCCTGCATATCCTCGACAGAGCCATGGACAAGATGGCGCCCACATTTGAGAGCAACTCTGAGGTGAGCTATTTCAGGTAAAAGTGATGTCAGCCAAACTCCAGCTTCCTTTGTTTCCTGGAGAGTCGCATCCAAGAAGAAAATGCATGCCAGTTGTATGTACTTGTCCTTCATTTGTACTAGGACCTCAACCATGGGGAAGATGGGATAATTTGTTTTCAACAGAATTCTGGATAGCTCTGCAGAGAGAAAGGTGTGCAGTAGGTGTGGCAAAGATCTTGATTCTGTGACCTCCTTTATGTCCACCTCTGACAATTCAGTCCAATGACCAGTGAAAATTTATCCTCATGCTTTATGGAGGTGGGCAGTCTCACTTCAACAAAATTTATTCCCTCTGACCTATTTGATGATGGCTAAAGGCTATTTCAGAATGTGCAGATCTGAATTACTATTTCAATAATAACAGAAAATATTTGTAAAATGTCTATCAGGTTTTTTCATATCTATGCACACTTACACAAAAACTCTGTCATCAGTATTTTAATGTTAAGATGTCTATTTCCTAAACTACCTTTTTTTATTTTTAAACAAAATATCTTTTTTTAGCAAACCATAATGACAATGCTACAGCCAAGATACAGCAAGTTCAGGTCTTTGTTAGAGGTATGTATTTTTCATGAATTTCTGGAGAACGTTTTATGCCCAATCCTTTGTAAAATTAGCAAGGGTGTTGATTATAAATATTTTATGAGGAATTACTCAAATATATATCTGAGATAGATTGCGGATATAAAATTTTATTTCTCACATTCAGAAAACCAATGTGGGACATGCCTTAGATAAGGATGGAGTTGGTGGACCATACACCATTTTTGTTCCAAGTAATGAAGCACTGAATAACATGAAGGACGGCACTCTCGATTACCTTCTTTCTCCAGAGGTATTGCATCTTACTTACTCTGATGACATCATGTCAGCATCACTGCCTTGGTCTATTCCGTACAGGCTTTTTCTAAACTAGAGATGGCAAATAAGTAGCATATGTATCACCACCTATCCGCCTACAATGAAGGCAGACGTCATTAATCAATCACAGTACTCTGGAACTAACCCTGATATTCTAGTTGTTTAAATCTCCTCCGTAGAATTCCAAGTAGCTGTGACCAGTCTATCAGACTAGGCATAGGAAATAAAATCAGTTTGTAACTCCAGACCTAAGTGGTCGGTTTGATTGGTCATGGCTCTTCTAATATTTCTCAGGAGCACAATCAATATTTTAAGTTCTCCACAACACTAAAACCCTTTAGAAAATGAAGTCTAAACTAGGCCATTCTGGGCCTGGTCTAGGCTAAATTTAAAAGGACTAAATGTCATTTTTAGATGATCCTGCCTTTCTTTTCCACTGCTCTCATTTCTCACCACAATAACCCTCTCCTTAGATACCATAAATCTTCAGTTCACTCACATTCTCCTTTGAAAGGAGATTTTTTTTTACTCCTTCACCCTAGGTGTAAATGGTTGAAACCATTTAAAGTGTTTTCTCTCCCAGAAATAACGGCCTTAAAGTAAAGAGAAGGATAGCTAATTATGGAATTTTCTTTTCCTCTGAATCCTTCATTTATATACGTTATATTAAATAAATTAGAATCATATTGGTCAACAAAATTATATATGTTTCAAGTTTCCAATTTTAGAATACGTCATCTGTATATTGCATTGTCTGTTTACCACCCAAAGTCAAGGCTCCTTCCATCACCATATATTTGACACATTTTACCCTCTTTTACCTCCTCCCACCCCCCCTTTTTCCCTGGTAACCACCATACTATTGTCTGTGTCTATGAGTTTTTGTTTGTTTGTATTGTTTGCTCATTTGTTGCTGTCAGTTTTATATCCCACACGTGAGTGAAATAATACAGTTCTCAACTTTTTCCATCTATTTCACTTGACATGATTTTCTCATGATCCATCCATGTTGTCACAAATGGCAGTATTTCATCTCTTCTTATGGCTGAGTAATATTCCATTGTACATATATACCACATCTTCTTTATCCAATAATCTGTCGAAGGACACTTTGGCTGTTTCCCTGTCTTGGCCACTGTGAATAATGCGGCAATGAACATAAGGGTACATTTATCTTTATGAATAAATGTTTTCAAATTTGGGGGGTAGATACCCAGAAGAGAGATTGCTGGGTCATATAGTAGTTTAATTCTTAATTTTTTGAGGAACCTCTGTACTGTTTTCCATAGTGGCTCTACCAAGGAGGTATCTCATTATGGTTTTGATTTGCGTTTCCTTACTTACTAGTGAAGTTAAACATTTTTTCATATGTCTGTTGGCCATTTGTATGTCTTGGGAGAAATGTCAGTTCAGGTCCTCTGCCCATTTTTTAATTGGATTGTTTGTTTTTTTGTTGTTGAGTTTTATGAGTTCTTTGTATATTTTGGATATTAACTCTTTATTGGAGGTGTTGTTTGCAAATATCTTCTCCCATTCAATCAGTTGTCCTTTTGTTTGTTGATGGTTTCTTTTGCTGTGCAGAAGCTTTTTTGTTTGATATAAACCTGTTCATTTATTTTTGCTTTTCGTACCCTTGTGTTTGAGGTCAAATTCATAAAGTCCTCTCTAAGATCAAGGTCCATAAGTTTGGTACTTATGTTTTCTTCTATGTATTTTATTGTTTCAGGTCTTATTTTTGATCTTTTATCCTTTTCGAATTAATTTTGGTATATGGTGACAGAGAACAGTCTAGTTTCATTTGTTTGCATGTGGCTTTCCAGTAAAAGCACCATTTAATGAAGAGGCTTTCTTCCTCTACTGTATGTTTTTGACTCCTTTAGCAAAAATTATTTGCCAATATATATGTGGGCTTATTGGCACAAACATTTGTGCAGGGCCTGCCATGTACCCCATACTGTGCCGTCTGGGGACACAGTGATTACTAAGCCAGAAAGACATGGTCCCTGCCTTTCAGGAGTTTGCAGTCCAGGTCGGTCTGACATTTCCCAGAGGTCCCCACTTTTTCTCACCCTTTCTGCCACTGAGCACTCAAGCTTATGATAGCATTGCCTCTACCTGCAATTCCCACTTCTGGGTACTATAAAGTAGCTATAAGGGGAAGTTAAGATCCAGAGGCTAAGTAACTTGCTCAAAGTCACATAGTTACAGTATCAGTACTATGGAAAGCATCACTTCTCAGTCTGGATAACTAACTGGTGGTCAACATCAACGTTCTTTTTGGTAACCATACCCTGCATGTAATGCTATTGACTTATAGATATGGTGGCCATTCACTTTATCATTTACACCAGGACACTTTTGAGAGTGAATAGAATTACCAGAACAATAGGAATAAACCAGGGTTGTATCAGACAAACCAGAATATATGGTCGCCCTGCTCACAGGTAATTCCCCTCACATGTGGACCAAGGCCAAATGCAGAGCAGAGTCTGGGTGAATGGAACTCAGGTTCATCAGGGTTTTCTTTCATCCTGGGACCTCACACTGTTAGAACACGTCCCTAGAATGGTCAACCTCTTGAGAGTTACTGTGATCTTGATTTGTGATCCGTCACCTTATGAAGCCATTGTAACTATGGCTGTGCCACTTAAGAAGCAGAATTCAAAGGCTGTGAAGCTTGTAACTCCCAGGTCTGACTCAGCTTGGAGACTGCAGCATACTGCAACAGACCAACACTACTGCCACCTCCTTCTTCCCCCAAAGAGAGTGGTCCCCGTGCTCAATCTGTACTCTTTCTCCAGGGCACCCTTACAGGGACCACTCATACTGTTTTTAGTCACAAGACCCTCTTTTTCTGCACTGCTGCTTCTGTTTTCTGAATCATGAGAAATCTTTGCAAAGGGCTTTAAAGGAGAGATGACCACATACCATGGGAGCTCAGAAGGGAAACTGTCCTGACCAGATAACCCTAACGAGGATCGTATATTCCCAAATAACCAGTATGTCATCTGACAAGCAGATGTTTATTTATGGCAAGAGTGAAACAGAATCGAAAACTAAGGTTGTCTTTTAAAAAATTGGAATGTAGCATTAGACATTCAGAGAGGTAATGGAGCAGAGTGATTTCTGAGAGCTTGGGCTAATTCTCAGGTTTATATCCTGAGTTAGCTTTGTGACCTTGGACATGTCTTTAAAAGTCAGTACTATCACATACAGAGTGAGTCAATGGTAGTCCCTGCTGCACAGGGCTGTCGGAAGGATCGAAATGTGCACATATGGTTTCAGAACAGCTCCTGCCAGAGCAGGAATTTGATGAGAGTTAGTTATTTGGAGGATGGAATTTTTCTCACCCTGGACTTCCAAAAAAAGAGATTATGGGTTATTTATTTGTCTTGAGTACGTATCTAAAGTCATTTAAGGAGAGGAAGTGTTATATTTTCTTCATTGACTAACAAAGTATTTTAATTCCTTTGCAGGGATCTTGGAAGCTTCTAGAACTCATCAGATACCACATTGTCCCATTTACCCAGGTTGGTCCCCATTTCCTGCCCTATTTTCCCCCTTGCTTTCAAGATATATGACCTTGTCTTAAACTGAAATATTTTGGTACTAGAAAATATGTGACAATTACTCCTTTTCTGTAGTTCTGAGCATACCTTAGCAATGAATAATGAGCCTGCTATCAAAGAAATCTTCAAAGCCACAAAAATTCATGACATCAAAGCTCCCATTATTTATTTCAGGAACTTGCAGACTGTTTTTATCCAGGGAGGATTTTCTGAAAGCAAGGTGTCGTGTGTTGCTCTAAATGTCTCTGTATTTCTTACTGCAGCTTGAAGTGGCCTCCCTCATTTCGACCCCTCACATTAGGAGCATGGCCAACCAGATCATCCAGTTTAAAACAACCGAAAATGTAGGTACAAGTTCTACCACTGGTATCATTACTCGCGTGCATTTTTGCTCTTCTTATGATATTTCTTCGGCTTTTCCCACCTCTACACTAACGCACAGGCTTAAACTCTTTACAATTATTTCATTCATTTGTTGCTTCTTTCAGGAAATATCTGCTGAGCCATTATATGTGTGAGAGTCTGAGCTAGAAGCCAAGGATAAAGCGGTGAAAAGACAGGC